ACAGGCCTAAAAACACGAACATACAGTTCAAACATACGAACATACATTTCGAGCATATAAAAGTGCAGAAATAAAACAAGCATAAACAACATGCGAAAACGAGGCGCACACTTAGACAATTCTCAAAAATATATTACTCAAAAGCAGGCACCAGCCCAGTAGTCAATATTACATAAACAATAAGGGCGCGCAGGCCCGACAAAGAAAACAACAAAATAAAAAATATGGCACGCAGGCCGAAGTACGCGGGCACGCAGACCCGGGGCTAATCTATGCTCCCTCCTCTTCCTCAGCTTCAGGCTCGACGACAGGGACGATGGGGCCAGTCTCCTCGTTGCTAGGGTCAACCACCCGACCATCGACTATCTCGTGGAAGGGCCCGATCCCATCCTCGACGAAGGCGACGCCGAAGTTTACCACCCTAAGCTGCGCAACAGCGCCATTGAAGCCTGCGGCGAAAGCATCTAGACAATCACCTTCCAACACCCGTATCCTGGCGAGCAGGTCAGCCCGGGTAACCAGCAACCTGTCATCATCAGTCTCGTCGTCGGCAGGAAAAAGGTCGCCCTCGAGTTCCACCACACGAGCCTTTGACGCCCGCAGTTCCTCCTCAGCTATCCTCAGCTTCTCCTCGGTGTTGTCGCCCCTCTTGCACTCAAGAGCCACCTCCCCACGAGACTTCTCCAGCTCTCCAGTCAGCTGAGTCACCTTCCCCCGGCTCACCTCCAGATCCTCGACTGCCTTGTTCAGACGGGACTGCGTGAAAGCGAGATCCCCCTGCAGCTTTGACAGCTCGACGGCCGAACAACTTTCTTCGTTCAGGACCATCGTTGTAGTGAAAGTCCGCATCAGCGCGGCCAAGTCCTCGGTCAGAACCTGCCTCCGCGTAGCACGGTCGGCACTCAAAACCGCCTTCGCCTCCTCGGCAGGAATATTAGGCGACCTAGCCCCATGGAAATAGCCGGGGTGCTGGTGACAAGGAGCGATGGCGTAACCCTCCTCGGAAGAATCCTTCGATAAGTCAGCCACGGCCGCATCCTCCTGAACTCTCGCCCTCTTCGGGGCCTCTTACGAAGTAGGCGACTGGCTACCGGGAGGGGACGCCGACAACCCTCGTCCGTCCTGATCTGCGGAAGACTGCCCGACCAACTAGGAGACCCGCGTCTTCGGAGGAACAACAGCCCTTGAGGCGCGCAACTTTTTCACCCGCTCCTCGACAGAAGACATGTTCCCTGCAAAACAAAGAAAGCCGGTTAACAAAAGACAGAAGGGTATCAAATCAAGAGAAGGTGAGGCGTCCACCACCTAGGTAGCGTAGGGCATCCTCCTCTGAGGAACACTCGAGCAGGGCCTTTGTATTAATCAACCTCGGCGTCTCACGAATGTTCCCATAGCTGTCGAGGATATATCGGCCATCGGGGGTCACCAGCTTCGACGACGGTAGATTGCGCACGAACGAAACTATCTTCAGATAACTGGCCATATCTTCGTCGTCGAGCGATTTCGCGCGCACGATATACCGACTTGTTCCCCGAGAATAGTGTTCTAGAGACCATTCCACGTGCACCCGTGGTAGCATGACGACCTCGTGACGACCATCCACGATCCTCTCCCCCTCTAAATATAAAGAGCGAACCCCTTCGTGCGTGATCGATCTGGCCACGCGGGCCCAGCCCAATGGTATTCCACCAAGTCCAGCCCACCTTGGACCACAACGCCGGGCACAGGTCCCCAACGAGAAGGATAGATCTCCCCGCGAGAAGGTCCTACCCCAACCACGTCGGGCAGGAGGATGCCCCCAGAGCAAGCACTGCCCTGACGGGCAGAACCTTCTCCCCTCCGCAGGCAGAACCTGCTCTCTCGTTGGGCAGAACAACGTGTCTTTCACACGTTCTCCACGTGCTCCCCTCTGCGGGGACACGTCACTAACCAACTGCCCACCTCCGAAAGAGCAGGTCAAACCCACTTTCCGGAGATCACGGGACAGTTGAACTAGGGCGAAGACCACGTTTTGGTCTTCACTACGCCACGTAAGCCATAGCAGTCACCTGGGTTGGGCCTGGCAACCCAGCCCAATGCAAGTGACCGTTGGCTCAGCGCTGGGGTCTCTCTATAAATACCCTATTTCACAAGAGGGTCAGGTAATTCACTTCTTACCCCCTTTTCTGTGCTTGTAACCAATCTGCCCCTACTCACTTTGGCATCGGAGTGTCTTGCAGGTACACCCCCTCCTTCTCTTCATCACCGGTGAACAGATGGCAGTCCAATAGCGTGTGGCCAGCCAGTGATCCCCTTCTGATCAGGTTAGATCAGTTTTATTATTAAATTCGCAAGTATTTAAAAAAATTGGTTATTCAGAATAAAAATTCCTAACAATTCATAGTAGAATTATTTATAATGATTCTAAAATCAATAATATTCCTTATAATTTATAAAAAAAATATAATGTTAAATATAGTTATATTTATAAAGATAATAAAAATAATGATGATTCATATTTTTATTAAAATTAATATTTATAAGTTAAATAATGTACTCTTCTTTTGACAGCATTAGAGAAAATTTAGAAACTAATTTCATGTGAAATTTGAAAGAGGTTGAAAAACCTACCCGTTCAAGTAATTAACCGAGCAAATGAATTTTGGGTCATGAGCATTGTGTACCAGGCTCTCACAGTGGTAGTCTGAGGGTGACAATGTGAGCTGGACAAACATAATAATAACAACAACGTAGAAAAAATTAACATTTTCTTTATTTGAAATTTTGTGTTTTATTTGATTTCTGATTTTTTATTTGATTTGTGAGTTGAATGAAGTTGTAAGTTCACTTAGTTGATGGTGTAAAAAGGTCTATAATTTTATTCGATTCAACTTCTATTTTCTAATTTTATCTAATTTATGTATGAATATGTAGAGTTCTTTTGTTTCTGACAAACAATTAAAATAAAATTGTTCTTCACGCAAACATTTATAACACATTATCTAACTTTATTTTTTTGATTTGTTTAGAGATCTAACTTTGATTAAAATCACTCTGATTAAAAAAAATCCTATGTTATTTATAGGGTGAAAGTTATATTGATAAGAAGTGGAACGAGATTACACACAGAATGAAGAGGATTACGCACAAAATAAAGAAAAAAAAAAGAAATTAAAGAATACTTCAAAGATCAATATGTCGTGTGCAATGTGGTTCTTGAAAGCTATCAATGTTGGAATAGAAGCCCCTAAAAATATTGCGACGCACTCACGTATCAATACAGAGCATTTTGATTTTAATGTGTTGTTACGTCAGCTAAAATCATAGATCGTGACATACACATTTACTAGTGAGGCGTTATTATGCGATAATAAAAACCTTATTATTTAATCTATAATCTAGGAAAAGTAAAGGGATCCCAAATTTTAGAAAGAGAGATTATTTTATATATCTTTCGTGTTAGTAGTAGCTTTCTATCATTGAATTTTACATTTTAGTGTATCCTTCATGTATTACTTTCTTAAGTTCTATGTTTTCTTTTATTGCTTTGTGAGTGGTTAAACTCCCTATTTGTTATGCATGATTCTTGTTCTTAAGGCATATTCTTGTACCTTTTATGCTATTGCTATATTGCCATATTAATGAATTGACTTTTGCTATTTATGTAATATTTGCTTGCAATGGTTACTCGTCAATTGGAAGTGATTTGGGTTTATCTTATGAAACAAGTTGTAGAGTAGATAAAGACTTTGAATTAGATATTTTAATCGATTTTCGTTTACAATTAGATATTATAATTTCCAGAGATGCGTCTTTTGTTATCGAAAAACTAAACGTTGAAAAATTTCAAAGATGCAAAAATGCATGTCTATCATTTATACTATTATATAAAAATGCATGTTTATCAATTTTTTTAAAAAAAAAATACTACCGCGCATTTTAATATAAAAATTTGTTTATTTTATAATTCAACAATAAAATCTTTGAAATTTTTCAAATGTTGTTAAAAAGAATTTTAAAATATTTAATATTTCATAATTAATCAATTTATTTTTATTAAAAATGCAAGAAACGGATAAAGATATGGATACTTAAATCTCCACATGATAGGTCTATAGATATTGATGCTCTCATGGGTATATAATCAAATATCACCCTACCTAAACCATAGTCATTGTCATCCCTTAGAAACGAGTTATTGTTGTTGTTGCGGTCGTCTTTTTATCAAACTAACTATATTAGAATTTAAATTTGAATTGAGTGGCTTATACTCGTAATTAGGTGCATGTGTATAATTATTTCATCAAACTAATTATATTAGAATTTAAATTTGAATTGAGTGGCTTTTATTTGTAGTCATGTTGTAGTTTTTTTTTTCAGATGTGTATTTCTAACCAAAATTTTATTTCATCAAAAGTAACCTAGCATTTCAATCTTAGAAGATAATGGAAAATAAACGCAAGACTATTGTTTCAGATTGCATATTACAATTTACATCAGATGTTGTAGTTGTTTCATTTCCTGTAACCTGACACTGCAAGTTTGCAATGACCACATAATACAAGGAAAGCAACATACATACACATAAGACTGCAAAAGTTCTCAAGATTTCTAGTGTATGATTGAAGTTGAGACCCGAAGAACCTCGGTGACCCAGAGCCCGTGACTTTGCAAAATCTACATTCTATGGTTCACCAAAACCACTGCGCCGCCATGATTTTGCTGAACACTTCACACATTCAAACACACTTACAAAATTGTCAATGTTCGTATTCTTTTTCACAATATATGTTTGTGTGTTACATTTCTGTACAAGTTACAACTCTGCACATTCTTAGATCCCAAGAAACAGATCCCATAACAAAACCAACCATCTCTCAGAAATGAAAACAGACATAAATTTATGTTGTAATATCATCAAACATTCCAATGAAAATTATCAGCATGTTTGATCTCTGTTCCAAATAGTGTATGCATATTCAGTAATCAAAGTTGCTAACAAGAACTATCTCAAAACAATACTATCCAACACATTCTACTTGCAAGGTTAAATCTTTTATTCCAGCATTGTGTAATAGATGCGAAACCTGAGACTTCACTGATATTTTGTCGGTATCGGTTGACACGTGTAGATGCAGTGTTCCTACTACATCTGTGTTGGTGAAACTCCATGAATGGAACTTTTGAATGCCATAAACACCCTTTATCTTCAAAACACTGGCTAAGGAATCTTTCAGATCGTGCTCATGTGCCCTAGGAACTCTTTGGAGCAAAACTTCGGCCGAGTTTCTGAGTAATGGTATCACAGAGGACACAATTAAAACCGAAATGAAAATTGAGCAGACTGGATCAGCAGCAAGCCAACCTTTGTACTTAATTAAAAGTGTAGATATCACAACACCGACACTCCCCAATGTGTCTGCAAGAACATGTAAGAATATCCCTTCCATATTGTGATCGATGTGGCGATGACTTTGCTTTTGGTCAAGGTGGCCAGTATGGTGATTATGATTATGGTCAAGGTGGCCAGTATGGTGATTATGATCATGGTCATGATGGTCGGCATGGTGATTATGATCATGGTCATGATGGTTGGCATGGTGATTATGATCATGGTGATCATGCTTCTGGATATGATCATGGTGATCATGCTTCTGGATATGAGCATGGTGATTATGGTCATGATGGTCGGCATGGCTATTATGATCATGGTGGTCATCGTTGTGATGCTTGATGCTCTGAATGCGGTGACTATCTGTATGAAACTCGACTTTCCTCTCATGACTAGAGTGATTGTGATGTCCAAGATCACCGGAGCATGAATTATCTTGGCAACTACTGGAAACCGAAATGATTTCTCGGTTGCTTTCATGATGATGATTATGCGGGTCGTGGTTATGTAACTCCGAGTGCGAATGTGGATGCGAATGTGAGCATGATCCAGACATTCCATGAGCATGATGATGCTCCTCGTGAAAGAATACCAACCCAATAACATTAACTACAAGCCCCCCTACAGAAACAACCAACAAACTATTAGTCGAAATCTCTTGAGGATCCAAAATCCTCTCAAACGACTCCACAACTATCAATGCTCCAACAAGAACCAGAAAAACAGCATTAGTGTAACCCGACAGAACCTCAAATCTTCCTCGGCCATAGTTATAGTGGTTATTCGCAGGCAAACGAGATATATACGAAGCATACAACCCAATTGCCAAAGCAGCACAATCAAACAACATGTGACATGCATCCGATATCAGCCCAAGACTATTACTCATAAACCCTGCAACAAACTCCACAACCATATACCCGGCATTGATCAAAAGAAAAAGTGCAATTTTCCTCGACTTCCTCTCGCTCAAGATATGTCTAATAGGCTTCATAACCATCTCAGTTAAAAACTGCGAAGAGTCATCTCCGAACACAATATCATCGGAATTAAAAGAATCTAAATCTCTAACCGCCACATAGAGCAACAAACCACAAATCAACAAACCCCAAAGCGATATATCAGGATAGTAAAAAAGCTCCAATATCAAAGTACACGTAAACATCACCAAAAACTCTCTTTTCGAATCATTGAAACTCATCAAATCATCACCACTATAACAATTCTCACTCAAAAGAACGCCGAAAACAACCGTATTCGCCAAAGGCCAAGCCAAATTCCCAAAAGAAACACTATCCTCGCCAGCTTCATAAATAAAATAACTAATCACAGCAGGAACAAAAAGCACAACTGTAGTGAAAAACAATGTCACCAACCGAACCCGTTTACGATCCAATTGCTTAAAACTCCCATAACTATCAACCGAAACACACGGCTCATAACAAGCTAAAAACCCAGACAAAAATGGAAGCAACAATTGCCAAACCCTAACACAATTATCAACCCCAATTCTACTCAAAGGAAAACACTCAGCTCTATCCCATCCAAAAGACAACATAAACAATCCCGAAAACAACAACACAAACCCGCGAATTTCAACCCAACAGTTTCTCCGATTTCTCTGGAACCGCCGAGCCGTCACAGTTCCCATAAACTCTGCAATTATCATCGCGGCAGTGCTGCAATATCGGAGAGCCGAAAACCGTAGGAGAAAAACCAAAGCTAAAAGAATCGATTTTGATATAAGAATCTTCTGCTGAGAGTTTGTAATTGATGTGGAAAAATTGAAGAGTGATGGTTGTTTGGGTTTATGGAAAGTGGCTCTGGAAGATGAAAAGAGGGAGAAAGAGAGGGTGAGGAAAAAGGAAAGAAGGGAAACGAGGAAGGAAAAAGGGAAGAGAGAAAATGAAGGGGAAGAGGAACGGAGGAAAGGGAAAAGGGAGTAGAGAGAGCGAAGGGACAAGAGGAGGAGGAAGATGAAGGAAATGGATTTGGAATTGGATTTTGAATTTGGTTTGGAATTGAAGGAGAATGATGAGCGGTGTTTGGATTTGGAAGGAGTGAGGCCTGGGGTTAGGGTTGGTGATGAATATGGGAAAGGGGAATTAGGGTTAGCGTCATAAGTGGCGGTGGTGCGAGGAGGGACGGAGATACGGTGTGGGCGGTGCTGGTGGTGGTGGAAATCGGTCATTGTGGGAAAGAGAGCAAGAAGAATCAATACAGTGAAGAGTGTTTGTTTTTCAGCGGTTTGAGGTAGATTCATACAGTGAAGAAATGACACGTCAATGGAATGCAAACATGTTTTACTAGTCTTAACTAGAATATTCAAGGTTGATTTGATTTATGTTTTTTATTTTTTTTATAATTTTTTTTAATGAAATTTGATTTGTTTAGGCACGTAATTAATTTAAAATTGAGTTTAGGAAGGAGGTTATATGAAGTCTCTAATTAGGTTTTTTAGACTTTAAGCTAGTTCTAGTTCAAGTGAGATAATGATTTGAGTTTGTCATCTGATCAAGGTTATTAATAGGAGATGAAATTTGTTGATGACTTGTTCAGGGTTGTAGATTGTTGTTTAGGATTCTTTTTTTTTGAGACTATTGTCAAGTAAATCTATTGAACTGTTGATTGCGTTGATGACGAAATTGATTTGTGAACATAGTTGTTTTGAATTAAATATGTTTTTTGCATCTGTATTAATGTCATAAATGATGCATGACTCTTTAAGATTGTGTTTCGATCATGATATTTGTGTCTGGTGTTGTTGACATCCTATTGTCTCTAAAAGAATAAGTCATTAGTAATGAGGAATCCTTAAATCAAGGTGAAACTAGGGAAATTACCTAACAGCTCATTGGCTAGTTGTTGAGAAATGGACGTACGAGAGAGGGACGATGTTTTTACTCAATTAATGTTGGAGTTTGGAGGGAAAATCTAAATTGTTGAAGTGAAGGTAATAATTCTCACTCAATCAAATACAAGATCTTGGAAAGAGAATTCAATGTGTTGTCATCGAGGGTCGAGATTGTAACTAAATCATGCTTAGAAACTTAAAGAGAGAGTCTTACTTGCAATCGTCCATAATTGAAACATGTACCCATTTTAATTAGAAATTCGTAATATGTGTGTGTGTGTGTGTGTGTGTGTGTGTGTGTGTGTGTGTGTGTGTGTGTGTGTGTGTGTGTGTGTGTGTAGTGTTTTATTTGTGGAAGTCCTAAACTACCTTGAAACACTAACATATAAAGCTTCTCGGCGTCGTGCGAAAGCCCTAACTACCATATCATGTTGTAGCCTACCAAGGCCTGTGAGTCCCCTACCTATGTAGGGGGAGCATGCACACCTATACTTTTTTACCAATACAGTGGCGCCCATAATGGGCCCCATTAAAAGTTTTACAAATTAAATAAAGAGTTGTATGATTTGAAACAAGTTCCAATAGTTTGAAACAAATTCCAATATCTTGGAACAAGAGTATAGATGGTTTCTTAAAGGAGATTGACTTTAAGAAGTGTATATCCGAACATGGTGTGTATGTGAAGAATGATACAAATGAACTGGTGATAATACTATGTCTATACATGGTTGATTCATTGATTATGGGAAACGATGTAGAGTGAATTTCTACATTCAAGAGTGAGCTTATGAAGGAGTTTGAGATGACCTACTTAGGCCTCATGATATGCTTCATTGGCATTGAGTTTTACAATTCCAAAAAGGGACTGCTCATACACCAAAGAAGGTATGTGATTGAGATTTAAAGAAGTTTGAAATAGAGCATTATAATGTTGCCATTAATCCAGCTAAATCGAGGCTTCAATTGTCAAAGAATGAGGATGAGCATGATGTTAATACAACTCAGTATCAGAGATTGATTAGATCTTTGTGTTACTTGTGCAATACGCGGCCGAATTTGGCATTTAGTGTCGATAATGTGAGCAGATTCATGGAGAGACCGAAGTTGTCTCACTTGGCAGAAGTGAAGAGGATTCTAAGATACATCAAAGGATCTATTGGCTACATAATTCTATTTCATGCCATGGACAAGGGTTGAAATACAATTTATTTAGATTTATCAATTTCAATTGGTGCAGATATAAAGATGATAGAAAATCTACAGCTGGATACTTTTTTTGTTTGGAGAAACACCAATCTCTTGGTGTTCAAAGAAGAAACTGGTAATGACACTCCCTTCTTGTGAGACCGAGTACATTGCAATTTTGTTATGTGTGTCAAGTCGTGTAGTTGATGAATTTGCGCCACTTCAAATTTCCTGTATATGGGTCAAGTCGTCAAACATTATGCATGGTGGTATATCATGGGTTGCCTTCTAGATCCTAACACGAGTTTTTGGCTATGACCCTCTACAATTCAGATTATGGAGATTTGATTTGAGGCTTTTATAAATAATGTTAATTTCCAAAAGAATTAAAACAGGGATGGGTCTTCATTTTCATGATCATATAGTCAAGACGAGATTAATTGCCCAATCTATGAGACTAGTCTTTTTCAAGAGCATACACAAGTAAAGCTTCAAAGAGTTTGTGTCATGACTAATGTGTGATCGAGGCATAATTTGAATCCTAAGGATATTTTTTAAAGATCATGTTTAATTGGTTAGACTGTATATAATCAAGATGTGATGGATTCGAGGCCAGGTTTAAAGCTTATACAAGTCATGATTCATTCACCTTCAAAGACATGTTTTGAAGTAGCTTCTAAAATTCACTTCCAAGATTGGTTTTTATCCACATAGTTGCTCATTGCTAAAAGGCAAGTTTCTTAGTCACTTGGAAGTTTTTCTTACATGAGTAGATGAATTTAAAGTGTGCCTTACAATCCAAATGTACTATTTTCATACAAGAAGTGTCACAAAAACACACAAAGGCCAATTAAAAGAGAAACATACAATAAAAGCCCATAAGAATTTTGCTTTCAAGGCCCATTTTGTCTACAAGAAAGTTGGCATAAAAAAATGGGGAGGGAATTCTAGACCTAGCGGCGACGTACTAGAGCTGAGGAGGAAGATTCAAAACCTCCTTCATTTTTATCTTATGTGATACTCCCTCTTCAAATTTCAATGTCAAAAAAAAAACTGAACCCCGCCTCAACAACTTTCCCAACGAAACCCTCCATAATCATACACTTACACAACAACTTCCGTTTCTCTAGATGCTACCCTCAGTCACAATTTTCTCAAACCAACATTGAACAACCTGTCCCGGATTCAAACCCAAACGCACGGACTGTCTCTCAACATAATCTCTGTTTGTCTCTGTTCAACTGTGAAACAACCTCTCATCCACACACAATAACCACACATCAGTGTTCAGAAGAAAAAAAATGGAAGCCACCCACACAACAAAACGATTCATAACATGAGATAAACAAACCTGCAGAATAAAACCCCTCCTTCAAACCCATCATTTTCTACCTTCAACCCAGTTTTCTTCTTCAACCTAACAACAACACCAACCCGAATCTTCCATAAGAACTTCGCTTTCCTTCAAATCATATCCAATCTGAAAAAAAGCAAACCTAGAAAATCAAAACCAGAACTAGAGAAAACAGACGGAGAAAGATTTGAATACTTAATCAAAACCCGGATATCATTTCAAGCAGAAATAGCGAGCACGGTGCAAGAACTGTGTCGCACAAGAAGATGAAGACCAAAACCATTTCCTTCGATCTACCACTTTGTTGTTGGTTCACACACATCGATGATGATAATAATTACATTCCCAGACTTGTTTTTTTTTTTCTTTCTTTGGATGTTGTTGACATTTCCTGATTCATTTTCTTCTGCAAAACGTGACCGCCGAGTTAATTAATGTTAGTTTTGTTGGTTCATTTTCTATGAAGATGCATTACAGGGTCTCGATGATGGTATGTGGGGGCTTAAATCCACTTCCTTTTACCCGTTGTTTCTCTCTCTCTCTCTCTCTCTCTCTCTCTCTCTCTCTCTCTCTCTCTCTCTCTCTCTCTCTCTCTCTCTCTCTCTCTCTCTCTCTCTCTCTCTCTTCATAGTTTATTTTTGTTTTTGTATTGATTGGCAATGGATTGAATGGGTTGTGAAGGCCCACAATGATTTCCACAATGGAACTTCCCCCTACATCCTTGTCTCAGCGCCCCCTTTCTCATGTCTTTTTGGTTTTTAATAAAATAAATTTTTAGAGTTTTATAAAGTTTTCTAATTTAAGTTTAGATTTTCAATATTTTAATAAATTTATTTTTAGAGTTTATAACATTTAAATAAGTTTATTTTTAGAATTTATAACACTTTTCTAAATAAGTTTATTTTTAGAGTTGTTAATTAAACATTTTTTCTAAATAGGTTTTTTAGAATTTTAATGATTTATTTAGTGATTTTTGTATAAAAAAAGAAGAAAAAAAACGTTTCGTTAAATATTTTGTTTTTAGATCATTAAATTGTTCTTGATTTTCTTTTATACGACTTTCTTCATCTTATATTGATCTAGTCGTGGATTTATTTTAGTTTCATTTTCGGTCGATGACAGGACTTCTAAAATTATTATAGGTCAAATTATTGATAGATAACGGTTTGTCCAAGACCACCTTCTTTTCTCTTTCAATTTCTTCTACATTTTCGATTTTATTTAAATTTTCTCGATCTATGAAGTCTTTCGATTCGTAAATGTCAATTTATCGAAGTCGATAACCTTCGCATTTTCAAATCTATGAAAAATAACCATTTGGGTCATTTTTTTTACTTTGGGATCGTGATAGTTTACCTTCGATTAACCGACATGATGTTTACGATTAAGACGAGATCCCACATTTCTTTGCTCTGTGTGACACGATTAAATTGGAGAATGATTCTCAATATCATTTCTCTATCTTGTCCATAACATGGACATCAATTTACGCGACCTCCTATAGTTCAACTTCCATCATAAGTCGAGCTACGACGGTTTAGCGTTGCATTTTGTCCCAATTTGGTTCACTAAACAAACTGACGACTAACTTTACTTTCTGTCAAATATACACTGCTTTATTTTTCAGTCAATATTATCTCAATTATATTATCTTGTCCATATACCTGTTAATATTTATCTTGATATATTATTGCGAATATTCTTGTATATATTGTTGTATATCCTGTCTATTATTCATATTTTGTATATATTCATTTCATCTCTTCATCTTATTCACATTCTTTCAAGACACCTAATA